GGAGAAAGGGGAAGATTCTCCAGCCACCAGGCGCCTCCGGGGCTGTCAAGAACTAACAAGGACTAGATCACCCGAAATAGCAGATCAAATTGAAACAGCATATTCAACTTTTGGAACGAGCCACGAAGCAGGCAGGAGGACCGGATATTGCAACACACTGACCTTCCCAGCTCTGTTTGGGTCAGATTGTTAAAATTAGTTTGTCCTCTCTGGAGACACGGCCAAGGTAGCCTTTTCTGTGGCAGGGATCCAAACATAGTCTCTACCGCTCTCCACAAGCGGGCAATGGGAAAGCCGTCCTCTCCTCCCCTCCGTCACTCCAGGGAGACCATGCGAGAGCAGGGTCCTTCGTAACATCTTTAAACAGGAGGTGACTTTGTACCGTTGGAGCCAGGGAGAGTTGCAGTGACCTGAACAGTTAGGACCAGGATACGTTCATTCTACTGAAAGAGGACGTTGAGAAATGGTTCCTACATTTAGAGCAACTGGATGATTAATTCCATTTCCATTTCGTTTCACTGATCAGGCCTCATCTTAAATATTTTTTATTTCTTTCTCTTCTTCACCTTCCTGACACCAGCCGTTGCCAAGTAACCTTGCCAGGTCAGGGCTAGTGTGACGAATAAACTGTGAGTTTCTTGATGTTTCTGACACCTGTTTGACTACAGAGACACTGGACTGTCCTCTGCCAGGTCCGCCCTGAGTGCTGGAGCATGCGTCTGAGGACCCCGCGCCAGGCCTTGGCAGTAGCTCTAGGGATCACCCACCTCCCTTCCTTCTCCTGTTTCAAAAGTATTGACTTTGAGGATCAGAAAAGGTCCTAACTTTTGTTTTTTCATTTTAACTGAAACGCTCAAATTTAGAGTGTCTTTCCCTTATTAATATGCCTTCTTAATACTGCTTTTAAAAAAAAATAATAATAATAAGGTGAAGTCTTGCTCTGTCCCCCAGGCTGGAGTGCAATGGCAGAGTCGCAACTCACTGAAGCCTCAGCCTCCCGGGCTCAAGCTGTCCTCCTGCCTCAGCCTCCTGAGTAGTTAGGACCATAGGTGCCACAACCACACTCAGCTATTTTTTTACGTTTTTTTTTGTACAAAATCTCTGTTGCTTATTGCATTTTTTTATTTCAAATTTTTATATCATTTTTTTTTCTAAGCTTCTAAGAAAGGGCTGACATTCACAAAATCAAATTCATACTAATTCTTAAAGAAACAATACTTGCCCTTCTACGGTTGAGCAGTTAGTGTTGTAAGCACCTGACACCAGACGTCCTTCCTCCCTTCTTCCTTCCTTTCTCCCTACCCCCAAAGGTTAGGGTGAGACAGTGCAAGAGAAAAACTTGGAAGCATCACTAATCCTATCAAAAACACGGCTCAAGCTACGTCTGCCAATGTGTAAGAGGGTCTAGACATCCGGCCAAATTACTGCTGTGGAAGACCATGATGTCTACACAAGGCTGCCATTTCGGAGTTTGGAAAGGCAGGCTGAGGGGCAGAAGTAGCAGATTCCCATCCTGTCTCTGAAAAGTAATTTTATTTGTCAAATATCCCAGCACTGAGTTGTAAATTAAGTTTCACTAAAGCAATCAAGTTTCTTGAGAAATACCTAGGGTCACAGAGCAGACATATTTCATGTTTTCCCTTATGGTTCAAATAATTTTAAAGTTCCAATTCACTTAAAACATGAATACGCTTTTTGTTAGTGGTGATTTGACCATGAGTTTAGACACAAATAGAGGAAGTTGGTGTGCAAGAACGTAGCCTGGAAGGAGTTTAGAGCTGAGGCGCATGTCTGGCACCTCTCACCGTGAAGGGTTGGCTCGGCTTCTAAAAATCGCATCTGAGGAAGATTCTGCCACCACTTCCACCATAAACCAGTGACAGCCTTGCAGTTAACTTCATTCCTCGATCCAGAGAAAATCCCCCGTCCTGCGATTTTAGATTTTTTTCTTCTTATACTGACCTTATTTTCTTTGAGAATGTAATTAATGACATGAGTCTTGTCATTTTTCTTTTCTATGCTTTAAAAAACCAAGAGGATCTGATGTTTGTGTTGCAATACATTTTAAAACGCTATTTCATTCTGGCTTCCTCAGGTTGTGAATGTTTCAGTAAGAAACAGAAAAAAATAGAAAGAATATGTTGCTTTTCAAAGCTCATTAGGAAGAATACACCCTGATGGCACATCCCCCACCTCCACAGTGGCAAAGTGATTCAGGTCTGATGGGCTTCTCTAAAACGGAAATATTCACTCATTTGAGCAAATAAATGTAATTGAAGTTGTTCCAGAAAAATGTTGATACTCCACACTAATACATACAACCTTAAAAACTTATCTCTGAATTGTTTCCAAATGACAAGTGTATATTTTTTGTTGTCCTATGTTTGTAGTGGAAGATACTACATTCAGCACGGACATACTGTGTGCCTCCTGCGGGTGAAGCCTGGTGCTCTTTGCCTGCAAAATACTACTCTTCATCTTGACGTTTTAGACATCCAACTGCTCCTCAGGAAACCATTTGCCTTTCCTATAAAATGCATAGACAGAGGAACTACTAACTGCATAGCACTCTGTTTGCTGGATACCAAGTAAACGCACTGTTACCATATACAGGGCTATATCTAGGTGGCCAGTTATTAGAATAAAAACAAAATTCTATGTTCATCCACTCAGATAATCCCTGTGTTTGGCTTCATGTTATGGTTTGAAACTCCTAGTAACAGTGATAAGAGTGAACACCAGAATGAAGCTTATTTCATGATCACATGTCCTGAGTGTGTATATGTGTGTTCTCAAATTATAGCTCACATGGACAGAGAATGTTTTCTCACTCCAGCGTCAGTGGGGATTGGGTTGCAGTGGGGAACAAAGGCCAGCACTGCCCGCCCTCTTTGAGGTTGCAGTCTCCTGGGATGCACACCCACTAAACAAACAACTACACAAATTCATAAGCTGCAAGAGCACCATCATGTGCAGCAGGTAACCCAGGCGGCTTGTTTTCCCGGCGGAAGAAGGTCACACTGGAGGTTCAGGCAGACGGAAGTTCATACTCAAAGTCGCAAAGTGGGGGCGGGTGGGAACCAGGCTGTCAGGGCCAGGGGTGGAGCCGAGCAGCCACAGACCATGGGGGAGTAACAAAATGAGGCTCCAAGATAGGCAGGAGCCAGATGCATGGCCTGAGAGGCCAAGTCAAGGATTTTGAACTCCACGCTAAGAGCAGCCGGAAGCCGGTAGCTGGCTCCAGCTGAGCACATGCACAGAACTGTGCTCTGAAACGTGCCCTCCCATACAGACACGGAGGAGGTGCTCCCAGCACTGCTGCAGACACTGCTATTGCCCCTGCGAGGACTTTCAGAGTGGGCAATCACCCAGACATGGGACCAGCAAGCGGTGGGGTCTGAATCAGAACCCCCAAGACTCTGGTACCGAGGTCTTTGACCAGACACCCATTCTCCACCCAGTTTAATTGGCTTAGTTTTGGTCTTATAAGATTCCTCATCTGCAATGTGCATGTGCAACTACAGCAAGCCTCCCTAAGATGCATTCTGCTGTAGGTCATGTAATAGACATGGTGGTCTATACACACCAGTAAACTGTCGTGTGTGTATGTGTATGTATTCACTGTATAATCCATCTTAATGCTTTTGCTTATGCAAAGTTTCAAACATATAGGAAAGAGGAAAGTAAGTAAAATAAACCCCCACCCCACCCCATCATGTGCCACTCCCAGCTGCAGCGACCACCAGCAGTGCCCGTGTGGCTCCCCCTACCACTGTGCCCATTTTGGGGGTGCTCTGAATCCATACCAGACCTCATATTGTTTCATCCATAAATATTTCAGTATTTTTCTCTAAAAGATAAGTCTCTTTTTAAACTGAACAGTAATAACACATCACATCTAAAATAGTTAGCAAGTATACTTTAAAATCATCCAAATATCCAGTCAGTGCTTACGTTTCTCCAGTTGGTTCATAAATTTTTTAAACTGTTTGAAACAGGAACCAGATCCAGATGCTACAATTGATTGATAGGTCTGTGTCTCTTTGAATCTATACGTTCCCCTTCAACATTTTCTTGTTTTTTCCCTGCAATTCATTTGGCTACAGAGTTCCCTGGATTTGGCTGTGCAGATCCATGGGGTGTCCAGGAAGGAGTTTTCAGTCCCCTGTGCTTCTGTAACTGATAACTAGACTGAGAACTGTGATCGGATTCCAGCTCAGTGTTCTTAGAAAACATTTCTTCTCTTCACTGGTGTTGCTGGCCTGTGTTTAATGTGCCCTTAAAGCAAGGAGGAAAGGCACACACGGAGTCCCGTCTGAGGGAATGAACACCTGTCCCTCCATGGAGCTCCTGCAACGTAGGTCACCCTCTTCCACCTGGAAACCACTCAGTGCTTTGAGGTATGCACAAGTTAAAAACGCTATCTCTACCTTTTCCACTAAAAGGAACGGGAGCTTACTGGGGACAAATTCCAAGACCGGAGTAGGGTCAGCCCACAAGGAGCACACAGGGTCCTGCTGAGCTCGAAGGCAGGACATGCGCAGAGACAGAGCTGCCTACCAACAGTAAGCACTGGAGCAGTTTCCGTGATTCCCACGCCCAGTCCAGGGCCACGTTAGCCTCAAACGGTGACAAAATCATGACAACTGTCACCCACTGGGTACAAGATAACTCACAGATCTACACTGACAATGAGTGAATGAATGAATGAATGAATGAGGAATGTTTATCTTTTCTGTGGAAAGAATAAATGCATCAGGGGAATGGAATTAGACAATTGTGGCTGGTTTATGAGCATGCCTGCTCTTACCAAGTCACCTCGTGATGTCAGCAGGTAGCTTCCTGATGGCACAGAGGAACGGGTTGCTTCCAGTGGATCCAGGGAAACCAAAGACTTGAAAAGAGAAACACCACGGCCACCTCTGTCCTCAGGCTCTTGGGCCACAGGCAAGTGACCGAATGTCCACTCCAAGGCAAAGCAAAGTAACTATGCCTTCTGGTTGTCATTCATAAAATTTATTTTGGAAAAATATCTTAAAAAGGAATTTCTTCATTAACAAAACAGTAAAAAACTCAAATAACATTTGCACAATATTCCATAAATACATTTATATACAAAAAAATATAGTCACATAGACCTGAAGTGCCTTTGTACATATTTGCCAAATTTTAAATTATAAAAAATGAACATCACAAAATACTCAAGCTTTACAGATATCATGAAAAATATTTTTACAAATCCAAAAAATAACACACATCTTTTCCTTCTAGAAAAAGCACATTTTAGTATCAAAAAAGACAATAAAGGCAGTGTTTGTGTTTCTAATTCAAGAAAAGACTGGCTCATAAGAATCCAAAATATACACTTCAGGCAGTGCATGCTTCTTATGTGTAATTCAGTCCACCCATTTAAATATATATTCTCTTAAGAGCAACTGTCCATAGTGCAACGGCGACGTCACGGAAGGCAGTGCCGCAGGCGGCCGGGCCGCGGCAGGCTGTCGGCAGGCGTCGCTGACTTCAGGAGGAGAGCCTGCTCGGTCTGAACTCAGTCTCTCAGCAGCAGTCCACGAGGCCTCCCCTCCTCTTCAGCAGCATTCGTTGGGGCATATATCCTTGGAGTTTTACTTATTTTAAGAGAAACAGGAATCTTGCCATCTCACTTCCATTTTACACCTGGAGGGGCCACAAGATAAATGGGGAGTTAGCCTGAGACAGATTCCCATGCTCTGTGGCTCCAGGTGTGCCCATGCCTAGGAGGAAGCAGGGGCTGCTCCTGCACTGACCTCAGTTGCTATGACGCACTCATCCTTCTCCTCGGATATGACATACACTGACTGGTACTTGGTGTCTTTCGAAGTTGAACAGGCTGAATCCGGCCTTTTTCTTTCAGATGCTTCTCCACTAAAAGGAAAATAGAGAAGATCCACAATGAACGCACGAGAACATCTGTGAATAGAAATGGGCCAGTGCTTCCAGGAAGACACCCCCAGGCACCCCCACCTGAGGCCCAGCCCACCGCACGCACCCCCTGAGTGTGGTCGGATTCCCCTTCTCCTCCCCTGAGGAGCCCTGGGGCTGGCACTTGGTGTCACGCTTGCTGTGCATGTCCCTGACGCCGGCTTCATCGCCCTTGAGGTCCTGCACCAGGTTATAGTCCACGGTGGGGTAGCGGGCCTTGAAGCCATTCTTGTCAGCGCCGTGGTCCCCATGGAGGTCTGCCTTCTTGTTGGTGTTCTTGATCTGCGTTGCCCCAATGACGCTGACTGAGATGTCCTTCTCACGCTGGCAGTTGGCCAGGTTGTTCATGGTTTCTGTCTCCCCCCGGCAGGGCTCAGCTGGGGGCCGGCGCTTCTGCAGCCTCAGCCGGATGCAGACCACCATGGCGGCACAGCCCAGCAGCAGCATGAGGACAAGGATGACCCCGGCGCACACAGCCACCCAGGGGAACGGCCCGCCCTGACCCTCTAGCTTCTCGGTGAGGTCCACCACCGCCGGGCCTGGGGGCAGCTCGGGGAGCAGGAACTGGCAGTTGGGGCCCCCGTAGCCCCGGGCGCACTCGCACACGTAGCGGTGGCCCCTCTCGTGGCAGGTGGCCCCATTGTGGCAAGGTGCGTGCTCACACCTGCTGACGGGGGCACTGCAGTTCCTGCCCGTGTAGCCGGGTGGGCAGGTGCAGGAGAAGTCATTCACGCCATCACGGCAGGTGCCCCCGTTGGCGCACGGGGAAGAAGCACAGTCGTCCACATTGTCGTCGCAGTGCCTCCCGGAGAAGCCGACCTGGCAGCGGCACAGGTAAGCATCACCCAGGTCCACACACTTGGCGCCTGGAACACAGGGACACAAGCATCACGCGTCTCCTCGTGGGTTTGTCCACCACTAAGTCATTCTGAAGCATCTATGTGTCTGTCACTGTGGAGACCAGAGACACGAGGACAAACCAGACAGCCTGTGGCCCGAAAGAATCAACAGTGCAAGGTGACATAGTCTAGGACCTCAAACACAAGGCTGCCAAGAAGTGTCCAGGTCTAGCTCTACAAGTTAGAAATCACACTGCTAACATCTGGACAGGCATGTGCAGAACGCTCCAACCGGTGACTCCATTAGTCATCCTAGCAACCCAACAAGGTTTCAGATGGGAAAACTGAGGCTTAACGAGGGTGCCCTTGCTCAGGTTACACAGCTAGTTGAGAGGAGCAGGCACTGACAACAGGGGAGGGATTTGGGAGAGGAAGGATGACCATTCTGGAATACTCTGGCACATCTGGGGCCCAGCTCTCCTTGCTGCGTATTTGCTTTGGGCAGCTGACCCCCCACTGCTAACAGGTGGCTGCCCACAGGCCTCCTCACACAGGGACACCCCTGACTGCTGTGCTGGGTGACCATACAGCTAAGCCGTCCTCCCAGATCAGAGTGCCTGGGGCCTGTGAGCATCACTTACAAACCAGGCAGCCTCACGTGCCCCGAGGCCCTGAGCAAATCATTCACTGTTTGGTCTAGGATTCCTCGGAGCACTCAGTAACAAATGCCCCAGCCTCTCTCACTCCCTGGGCATTTCCAGGCTCAAAAAGATACAGTTTCTATAGAGAACTGTTGGTGCTCTGGATAAAGGTGCTTCAAAAAACTTGAGATCACTCACAAATGCTGGGTTTTAATGCCATCTCAGTATTGACCACTCGCCCGAGTCTCTGAGCACTCGCCAGTTGCCACCTTACCATTAGAACAGGGTGAAGAACTGCAGTAGTCAATTTTCTTCTCACAGTTGAAGCCGGAATAGCCCACAGGGCAGCGACAGCTGTACCCTCCATCAGGGCTGTCTGAGCATCGGCCCCCATTGAAGCAAGGACCGTCTGCACAGGTCATGGCACTCAATTCACAGATTTTGCCGTAGAAGCCAGGTGGGCATGTACAGGAATAGCTGTTCTCAAGATCCTACATGATGGAGAGGTCAGAAAAGGCTTTCCAGAGTCGCTCCAGGGAGCCCGCACACTCCTTTCAACACCAGGGCACCCCAGCTTCAGGGTAAGATGCCACAGAGCCTCTGGCTCAGGAGCCTCCAACTCACCGTGCAGCTCCCTCCATTTTTGCAAGGGCTGGGGTCACACTCGTCAATCCCAAGCTCACAGGTGGCACCTGTGTAGCCAGGCCGGCAGGAGCATGTGTAGCTCCCCTGGCCTGTGTTGGTGCAGGTGGCCCCATTCTTGCAGGGTTTATGGTGTGTGCAGTAGTTCAGGTCTGTGAGGGGTGGGGACAAGAAAAGCAGGAGATAGAAAGCTCGACGTCAAATGCAGGAAGACTTTATTTTTCCAGTGACCAAACAGCTAGGGAAGTCCAGGGCTGCTCTGGAGGGAGCAGGCCACCTCAGGGAGAGAATGCTTACCCTGGTTGCAGAAAAGGCCTCCCCAGCCTTCCTGGCAGTTGCACTGCCAGGGCTGCTGGCAGGTGCCATGGAGACAGCCCGGATAGCGGATGCACTCGTCACAGTACCGGCCCTGCCAGCCCACTCTGCACCTTGGAGAAAATCAGAAGACTCAGATGTACGCTGACCGTCGCTAGCTTTGCAGTGGACATTCTCACCCTAGAAACCATCTTCCTGCAGCACCAGTGAGCCTCTGGTTCTCCAGATTAGCAGAACACTGGGTCACCTTGGGAGCTTCGACCACACTGCGGCCTGGGCCCCACCAGAGGTTCTGGCTTCGTGGGTGTTAGGGGACCCCCAGTGCCAGCATCTCAAAAGCCTCCCTGAGTGATTCTAGGATGAGGCAACATTTGAGACCCATTAAACTAAACTACCATTTCCTGTACCAACTCTTTCTAAATACCATCTATAAATTCTCATAGCCATTAAGGGCCTTAGATGAATGACATGCCCACAACCTTATATGCTGCCAAACATTTGTTAAGTAGAAACACAAGAAAACAGCCCCCTGCCCAATCGATCTTACCAGAGTTTTTCAAATGATCACCTGGGGCTATTTTACAAATAAACCAGGTATGAAAGGATAACTAGAAAAGGCAACAAAACAAAACACCACCTTGTGCAGACTTACTTGCAGTCCCCTGGCCTGTCACAAAATCCATGCTGCTCATCACATCCGGGCAGGCAGATAGCTACAAGCAAAGGGAAAACAGGGTCAAGCCCCATGCCAAGTATCTCCCAACAGGGCTGCTGCCCTTGGGGCGCGGACACAACTTGCCTGCTTCAGTCAGCAAATCCCAGCTGAGTTAATCTCCCCAGGTTGTGGAGGACTGACCCACCCTGCCTAGTAGCCTGGGACTTGACTCAGCCCTGGGGATGAGCATTCTTCTTAACACAGTGGCTCAAGGACAAAAGGGCTCTCGGAAGCCCCCACCCCCACCCTATCCCCTTTTCTTCTAAGAGAGGGTCAGAAGTCTTCCCCCTCCTTTTCCCCCACTTCCCAATTCTATGCACAAAGCTCCACCTCTTAATATCCCAGAAAGTGTGTGTGCAGATAAGAGTGGACAGCTGGTATGCAGGGTGCCAGGGCAGGACAGCTGCTCCATTGTCTGTTCTCTACGGCAGCTGCCCCAGCGCAACAATGCCGGCCTCCCCCTCGCCCCCAGCCCCACCTCCTCACACACACCCCTCGCGTGTACACACACACACACACACACACAGACACACACACACACACACACACACACACACCCCTTCCACCAATGGGAGCCTGTGGGTGTCCCTGCGCCTATCCCCTGAGAGATCTAATCTATGGCACGCATAAGCTGGGGGTGGGGAGAGACTTCAGTGTTTGAATATGAAGAAAAAAGTTTACGTTTCTGGCTACCCTGTGGTGAAGAAGAGGCAGGGAAGCAGGGTGGGAGGCAGCAGACCTGCCAAAGACACCCGAAGGGTGGTAGGTAGGCAATGGGCTTGAGGCTTGGAGCTGTCTCTCGCAGCCTGGTTATAAAACTCATTAACGAACAGCTCTGAAAGTTTTTTCTTTTAAAACAGAACCAGTTCAGGCCAAGGCAGAGCTTAAAAGGAGCTCAGTAAGTCCTGGAGGGAATTTGAGAAGCTAAGAACAAGGACATCAAGGCACTCAGTGAACGGGATGACCCACCCTCAACCCCCGACACCACCCAGCTCCTGCCAGAGGTTCTGGGCCTCACTGAGCTCTTCTCCAAGGTTGGCCTGTTCCAAGGAAGGAGAATGACAGTTCCCTGGGGTTTCTGGGCAGTCTAGGACCTACTCAATCTCCGACTGTAGGGAAATCCTGTACCAATGGGCTGGGACGGCCAGGCGTGCAGGCGAGGCCTCAGTAAGCTGGAGAGAGGGATCCTGAGGACTCCATGAGCCAGAACCAGGAGCCAGCACGGCCCCCACCCCAGCCCTAGTCACCTGCCTGCCATGAAATTGATATATCAATATCTAATAATCAGGCAGGCAAAGCCTCTGTCACTACTAGGAAGACATTTCTTTTCCAGACAGGGTGCTGCATGAGCATTCAGGCCAGATGGGGCTGTGCACCCTTCGCCCATGCTGGCCTTGGAGACCCAGCCTCAACAGCCCATAGGAGTGAACGCCTGCCCTCTGGACAGCATGGTCATTGCGCGTCACCGGAAAGGCGTTTGCTCCAGAGAGGTCAAGCACAGCAGTTCCAGAGAGAAAATGGAATGTTTCCCAGTGTGATGCTGTCACAGCACAGGGACCTCTGGTTGAAAGCGTGCCCCCGACACACAAGCTCTGTGTTCCTCCCTTCCTTCCTCCCCTCCCTCTCTAATACACACACCCTGGGGGTAGCACTGGCTTTACTTCCTGACCCCTGGCCTTGTCTCGAAAACCCTCCCTGATTAAGAAAGGCAGCTTCCGATACTGCATAAAGACAGTCTTGGACATTAAAATGTCTGCGCTGACCCCAACCCCACCACTGGCGAGCTGTGACATAGCAATCCACTTCTGTCCTCTGGGCCTGAGTTTCCCCGCCAGAACATCTCCAAATCCCAAGCTCCCAGGGGCTCGGGAAGCCTCATCCCTGTGCGCAGTCAGTGTTCATGCACCAGAGAGCGAGCAGCGCTTCCGGAGACTCACGCTCTGTGCAGTAGAGGCCTTTCCAGCCAGGGTTGCACACTTTCTCCCCACGCTCTCCGCAGGTGAAGTGGCCGAAGGCGTCATCCCGGGGGCGGCAGAAAACTGAGCAGCCCTCTCCGTAGTAGTGCTCGTCACACACAAAGCGGTAGGAGTACTTGAGGTCCGTGCGGCCACTGCTGTGCAGGTCCTGGGACCACTCCTCACCCACCGTCAGGTGCCTTTGGGTGGCCAGGCGGCTGATGAGTCTTTCTGGATTTTCTATGGGGAGAAGATTCTCCTGATTGATTCTGACCAAGAACCTTGAGGCTCGGGACAGAGCGAAAGGTGGATGGAGTCATTCAGCTCCAGAAGGAGGCCCAGGCCCTCCACCCTGAACTTTCTGGGGCACGTTCAGAATGAAAGGTGTTTGGGTTTGGTTGGGATACGAGTAAGTGAAGTTAAATGCTATTAACTGGGGGAAGCCGTTTTGGGGTCTGAGTTTGCTTTTACCTGTTGCAAGGTCATCAGGAGAATCTGTGTGGAGAGCTTCAATAATCAGGGAGAAGGTGCCCTGGGACAGAGGGAAGAGGACGTATGACAACCCAGAAATGTCACGAAAAGAAGAAGGCAAGGAGCAAAGTCATTCAGGACAAGCAGGCCAGCAACCCAGGCCTGAGGCCACGCGCGTCTGCTGGTCTCTGCGCACCTCCCGCTTGCTCCCACCTTCTCTAAGAAAATGGAAGAACTTTTTAAAGAGTGGCTTCCTGACGTGTTTTTTACAGCCTGTAGTACAGGATATTACTTTTTTTTTTTTTTTTTTTTTTTTTTTTTTTTTTTTTTTTGAGAGAGAGAGAGAGAGAGAGAGTGCATGAAAGCAGGCGGGACCGGGCAGACGAGACCCGAGCGCGATGCTCATTATTCTTGCGGGGATGGGAGAGCTCGGGGTGGAAGCAGTCGCGTTGCGCGGCCAATTGCACAACCACCGCGTCTAGGAGCCGGGAAACGAGAACCTTCCCACGGAAGGGGCACATCTGACTCGGGACCCGCCGCGGAGGCCGGATGCGGAAACCTGCCGGGCGCGCCCGGCCTCTCCTCCTCGCCCGGCGCCGGTCCCCTCCTGCCGTCTGCGGTGCTGGAGCCGTGGGGCAGATCGCCGCGCCCGCCCCACCTCGCGGGGCCCAAGAGGCCCCGGCCCGCACCGCCATGGTGCGCCCGACGCAGAACACCGCCCCGCGCTCCCGGCACTCACCGGCCAGGTGAAGCCGAAGGGGAAGCGGATGGGGTTGCTGAACGCGGGGTCCGCGCCCGCGCCGTCGGGCAGGCTGAAGGAGTCGACGCCCAACACTGGCGTGACGGCGCTGCCGTAGGTGCAGGGCGGCTCCGGGGACACGCTGGCCTGGTAGTGCTTGAGGCACACGCGGAAGAAGGTGCGGCAGGCGCACGGCGGCGCCCCCGCGCCCCCGCGGCAGCAGTTGCGGTTCCCCAGCAGCCCCTTCTTGTTGACGAACTCTTGCAGCTTCAGCTCGAACACCCCCGAGCTCCAGACCTGCGCGGGGAGGGCGGGGTCGTGAGGACGCGGGGCGAGGGGGCGTGGGGCCCCGGGGAGCCGGCGCCTGGGGAGCCGGGGACGCTCGGAGCCGGGCAGGGCCGGCGCTGGGCTCGTCGCCCCCGGGGTTCACTTTCGGGGCAGCGGTTGGCGCCGCTCGCGCGGCCGTCCGCCCCTCCCCGCGCGTTCCTGCCCCGCGCCCGGACTCCCCGGGCGACCCCGCGGGGCTCCGGCGCCCCCAGCTGCCGCCTACCTGACACAGCAAGGCCGAGAACACCGCGAGAGCCAGCGCGCACCGGCCGCCCATACTGCCCGGGTCCAGACGCGAGCCTGCGGGGCCCCCTTTTCTCTCCGCGGCGGGCGCGCGGGGGGTCAGCGGGCCCCGGGGAGCGTGGGCAGAAACGCGCCCTCGCCTCCCCCCGCGCCGGAGTACCCAGGACTTCTTTCTTCCGAAGCCGGTCTCCGCCTCTGCCAGAGGCCGCAGTTCTTTATATCCGCCCTGCGAGGTCCCACGGCGGCTCCGGGGATGCCCGAGGAAAAGCGGCTCCCGCGGGGAGAGCGCGGCGCGGCGGCAACTTTCGGTTTCCCTCCTTCTCCAGTCCCGGGGGAGGTGAGGGTCGCCGGCTCCCTGGTTTGTCTTAAGGTCTTCGCAGGAGAGAGAGGGGGAGAGAGAGAAAGAGAGAGAGTCCAGATATTGAGCTTAATTCCCAAGAGAGCTGGAGAGCTTCCTCCCAAGCCGATTAGAAAGCCGCGGTCTGGAAATCCCACGGGCCAGGCGATAATCCGGGCCCCGGCGTGCGCGGAGGGGACGGTCGGCGGCGGCGGGTGAGCACGGCGCCCTGCGGGTCGTGGCCGGGTGTCACTCGGCGGCGGCGGGCGTTCCAGGAGCACTCTGGGCTCTGAGCTCCTGTGTCGCGGCAAAGATCCGCGTCTTTCCGACGAATCCAACCAATGCCATCCAGTCCACACGCGCAGGAGCGGAGGGGCCGGGCCGTGGGAGGGAGAAGGCTCTGCGCGGCGGCTGCCCGGGCTCCCCGGCGTTCTGCCCTCGGCCGGGCCGGGTCTCCGCGGGTGCGCGCAGAGGATCTGGCCTTCGCCGGCGCCTGCCGCCCTTATATCCCGCCGGCCGCCCGCATGGCTAATGAGATGCAAATCAGCAGCCCCCCAATCTGGCGAGAGCTGTCACAAAGGAGCCACTTTTCCAAACCCTCCTCTCAATGGATCGCCAAATGGTCAGTGAGCTGTAAAATGTGCAACCCTCCTCCCCGCCCCCACCCTTCCCCGCCCCCGTAGTCCTCCCCTGCCCCCGCCCCCAACCCCCCCTTCCTCCCTGGCGACACAAAACGCACTCATTTACATTCCTGCAAAATGTTCACCGCAAGAATCCCCCTGCGTTGCGAGCTGGTGCCGCCGCCCGGTCCCCCTCCTCAGGCCCTCCCGGGCCGCAGACGCTCGGAGACCCACTGCCACACGCAGGGGGCGGCGTTGAGGGTCGAGCTGCGCCGCGAACACCCCACTCGAGCGGCTAGACCCGGCCTCCAAAACTCCCGGCCGCGGCGCCCGCCGAGGGGTCTCCTCTCGCCGGCAGCGTCCCGGGGGCTTAGGCAGGGTGGCTGCGGGGAGGAGCGTGAAGTTGGAGGCCCGAGCTCTCGGTGGGCCGCCCCTTCTTCGGGGCAGGCGCTTCCTAAGGAGGAGTCTCTCGGGGGCGGAGGCGGGGGTGGCGATTCGGGGAGCACCGCAGGAAAGGGGCGGGCGGAGCGGTGGGCAGAGGGCGGCGAGAGCAAAGCGACAGTTTCGGGAAGTTTGGGGAGGTCCGGACCGGGGACACCCCCTGACCCAGGACGGCCACTGAGCCTCGCGGCGCGCAGAGCCGGCGTGCGGGCGGGGCCAGGACGCCCCCTGGGACCCTGGCATCCTAGCGCCCTTGGTGTCCTCTTGTGGTCCGTGGCCACTGGGAATGGAGCCCGGGGGCTGGGCGGCATATCCCGGAGCCAGGAGAACCTGGCCTTCAGCTCCCCCCACAGACACACGCCCTCCCCGGCAGGATTCCTGGCCACCGCCACCTTCCCTGGGTCTCGGCCCCTCTCTCCTGGGTATCCCCCTCGGCCTCCCTCCGCCTGGTTAGAAGTGAGTTTGGTGTGTGTCGTTCGCGTGGCTGTCATTAAGGCAGCCTGTTATTGTGCGAGGCTGAATCAGTGGCTCTTTGTGCGCTCAGCTGTATGGTAATGCAGACAGCACCTGCTCCCCGCACAATGCGGAGAGAAAGAGCTCCCCTCCGCGCGCGCCGCGGCCTCTGCAACAATGTCCGGCACATGTTCTAAAGCCCCCTCCAGCCCCGGTCCCCAACCCACAACCTTCACACAACCGTCACCTTATTAGGTTTTTACACGTCCATCAGGCACTAGAACTTTTGTTTTCATTTTTTAAAGGGAAACGAGTTTATTGGGAGGGCCGTGAACACACGTATCGCACAGTGAATTATCTGAATTGCCCTCATAGGGCAGAGTAAGTTGGGGCACAGACTCGTACTTTGGCATCTAGCGTTGCACTTTGCCCTCTCTCTACCATCCCTGCCAGTGGCTCCGTGACTACCCCCAACGCCTCCGCAGCTTCATTAGCGTTCAAGGTGGGAGTCGAAGTGCCCCCTTTGATTGTAGCTGAGCCCCAAGGATGCAGCCTGGCCACAGTGTCCTCACTGTAGGTGTGTTAGAGCTGCCTTGTTGGTGAGAACAGGGCACTGTCAAGGCAGAACGTGACTTCCATCCCAGCAGATGTCTTGATCACAAAGTGTCTAAGCAGAGGGAAGATCTTCAAACAGCAAGGACAACCACTGGAGCCAAAAATCTGAAGGTCACTTGGTGAAGTTGTCCATGACAGGCCCTCCAGCCCTCACAAAACTGGAGCTGCTATTCTGCAGCTCTTCTTCAGGTGACCCAGCCTATCTCCTGCTACCTTGTTTCCCAAATACCTGCAAAGTTTTAGGATCAACAGAGATGCCCACTTTAGGTTTTCCCCTGTTGCCTCGTGGAATAGCGAAAAGTTAACCACAAAAAACAAGCATATGTTGTTTAATGCCAGGTGAGAAAGGCAGGCTGGGACCTCACCATGAACCCTCCCCGCCCCCCCCCACCCCACTGTTTGGTTCAGAACAAACGGAGGCTTCAAAAGATGCTGCCACCCCCATGATGGTGGCAAGCCACAAAAGTGTGGCTGTCCTTTTCGGACTCTATAGGGACTCACTGTGTCGCCACAGGGAGGGGCCAGCTCAAATTCTAATTTAATCTTGCCACCTAGTGTCAGGATCCTTTTTTCTCTGCGTTGATGTTTCCTCCAAAAGCTGACTTCTGAGAACTCTGCTTCCCTAAGGCACAGGAGCTGCTCCTTGTGCTAGGAGGTGGGGGTGGGGGTGGGGGTGGGTAGGTGAGAGGGTTTCAGGGGCAGAAGAAATGTAAAAGAAGAAAAGAATGTGAGGTCACAATCCAGAATCCTCTGCCTGTAAGACTGAGCATAGATTTCAGTAAGAAATGGAATATCAGGAACCTTTTAATTAGAAAAGGGAAGTGGAAAACAGGCTGATTTAAATGCCGATTTAGAAAACTGGAAATAAAAAGTTCCACGCGCAAGGGCTTAAACCTTGGGGGAAAAAAGACTTGCCCCAAATCTTTAACAAACTCCCCTCAGCATCAAGTATTTGTTAAATTGACGTGGCACAGATTTCTCGATTACAGCGGCAAAGCGGAACTGAAAGGCATCGTAAAATCCATCAGAATCCTGCCCAAAGCGTTCATTCTTTTCCAACTTAATTTATGCCACGCGATTCTGTATTGGGGAAATCAAGCAGAAAGCCCTTTTCTTCTTCTCCCTCTCCTTCCTCCTCCTCCTGTTCTTCTCCTTTTTCTTTTTCCTCCTCCTCCTCTTTCTCCTTATCCACCTCCTTCCTCTTCTTCCTTCTCCTCCTTCTTCTCCTTCGCCCTCTCCCCTTTTTCTCTCCCTCCACCCCCAGATTGGTTCCTCTCTCCCTCTCTCTTTCAAAAGCTGTGCTAACGGGGAGACTGTTTAACTTCAGCGTTTCTATAGGAGCCTGTTGTAGTTTAACTCCTGCGCACCAGTAGCTGGGATGAACAAAGGAGAGACTCGAGGTCCAACTATTCATCCTTTCTTTGCACTTTAATTTTCATTGATTGGGAAGACAAGGGGAGCCCTTAGGGATTCGAGCTGGAGGGGACGACACGCCTTTAGACGCCGTCAGCCCCCTAGCCAGCCATCTGCTCCAAACCAAATGGCGTTTTTTCACTCCCTAACTGCATGTCTCTATACTCCCACAACTAAGCACTCTGAACCCCCCAAATGCAGGAGGGAGCTTAAGCCAGGGTATGTTAAATAGGCTTGCCTCAGTGTTGGCCCTGGCTGCCAGATTCCCTCCTCCCCACACTATAAATCCTCACCTTGCTCATTAGGAAAAAAACAGGAAACTTTCTTTTAAATACTTTTTGATGTCTCAGCAAATTTACTGTACAAAGTGAGGCTCATTAGGGCTTAGAAGGCACCCAATACATCAGACACAGAAGTGGAAGGAGGAATTTGCTGCCTGGTGGTGGTGTTTTTGTTTTGTTTTGTTTTCTAGGCAGCACAACCCCATAGGCCGAATAACTCCAGTGTCTCAGGCTGTATAATAATGAGAGCCACAGCCACAGCAACCACATCTGGAGTTCTCTGTTTGCTGAAGACCCTGATTATCTCCCCACCATTTTATTAGACCACCTGGGAATAAAAGCTTATGGCCATCCTCTTATCAAATTCCAATGTGGCCATCCTCAGCCGTGTGTGCATGACCTAATACCGTGGTCACCCAATCCTATTCCAACCCCGCTTTCCAATTAAGTTTCCATTCTCCAGGTTCGTGTGTGGTGGTGACTGTGGTGGGGGCAGGAGGGCCTGGACAGATTGCAATAAACAATGACCAGAATAGGCTCAGACTCCAGGCCAGCCACAGGTTCAGTTTTCTGTATAAACAAGTCTGGAGACTTGAGTGGGGTTTGTGTTTTCTCAGACCAACTGAATACTGTATACCCAACAGAGAGGTTCTCTTATTCCTAAGAAGAATTAGGGTCCTTGTTCAGAACAACAAGATAAAAAACTTCCAGGCAGCAAATCTGGTGTTGATCAAACATGCCAGCTTACTTGAAATAAAGAAGAAGAAGGGAACGTAGACCATGCTTAGTAATTAGCATTGGTATCACATCTGCACCAACCATCCTCTGCCCGTTCTCCATTCGTCAGTTTTGGAATCTGAAAGCAGTTAAAGTAGCAGAGGAATGGACCTGCTTGCTGCCCCACGGGGAGCTCTCAGAGCGTCCGTGGGCGAAGCCTCTGTGTCGTGGAGCTGTCATGGATACTTCCTTGCTGCTTCCTTCTTAAGGCTGTCTTTGGACACGTGAACAGAGACCATGCCCACACACGCACTCACTGGGCCGTGTCCCCTGCCCAGCCACGCCCACCCAAATGAGTGCACAGATGTGTTGACACTCAGTCGCCGCGCGCGTGGCCTTACAAGCCCACGAAGCCATCATTCCTCACAGTCCGGAAAAGGGAGGGGGTGTCTATCTGGTTTACATTTGGACTTCGAGGCTCCGCCCATGTGCACGCGAGGCGCGCGGCCCCCAGGCAGCAATGCTTGCAAAGCGAGCCGCGGATCCACCCGCGCCCAGGAGCGCGACCCCAGGCGCGCGCAGCTCTGCGCGGGGGCGGGAGACGGCAGGGGCGCGAGCGCAGCAGCCAGGGGGAGAAGGAATCAGCCCTACAGCGGCTCTTAAGCCTCCGCGCTGGCCGCAGGCTGCGCGGCTGCAGACGGGGCCAGTGGGTCCGGCGTCCTGACTTCCCCTGAGCCAGGGGGTCACGAGGCCACACGCCCTTCTCCTTTTTCCTGGGGTCGGCGGCCGTGCAGGGGAAAGGAAGGCGCGCTCCAGCCCCACTGGGTTCATTTCGTGGGGCGGTTTGGAGGTGGGGGTAGTCTGCACCGTGGCGCGGGCGCGCGGGACGCCCACACCTCGCGTGCGTGGAGCCGGGGCTGAGGCCAGGCCCGCGGCGCGCAGCGAAGGCATGTGCTGATTTGCATGAGAACGGGCGGGTCGCGTGGCTCAGCTGGCGGCCGTAGCTCAGACGACGGCTCGGCCCTCGGCCCCCGCCCCCTCCTCTGCGTCAGGGCTCCGTCCCCGGGAACCCGCGGATCATCTGCCGGGGCTGTCCCGCGCCCCATCTCCATGACAAAGCGCGTGTTTACCTGCGGCCAAGCACCGGCGGGCACGCCTTTGTCCCGGGATCAGATTACCGCGGCAGCTGCTCCGGGCCCGCCCCGTGCGAGCCCCGGCGCTGCCCCTCCGAACTTTGTGCGGACTGAAGGCTCGGGGATCCGGGACTGGGGGGCCGCGGGGGGCATGGGGTGGGGAGGGCTTTAGGTAGAGGCCATGTTGCTCGGGAAGGGGCTGTTTTCAGTTCGATGACTGCTGGACGCTGAGACCCGCGACGGGGAGTGGGCGCTCCGGAGGGCTTCCTGGAGGTGGCGGCGGCGCTGGGGAGCATTAGGAGGGGCACCAGTGCGGGGCCCGGCGCGCGAGGGCAGAGGCGGCGGGGACGTGCGGCGGGTCACCCCCGGGCCACTGGGAGGGCA